ATCGAATCGTCAAACTTTTCTATTAAGTCAAACGATTCATTAATCGTTGTATTACAGTGTATTTACCGAATAAAAATTACGTTTAAAACTCGCAAAATTAAAATGTCTATAAATAGTAGCTTAAATATTTAGAAAGTTTTACCAAGTCTGGAAAAAGTATATTTACTCTTTCAAAATTTCAAGTCTCTACGAATATTTTTAACTGAATTATATTACAAAACAAAATTGAAAATAAAAAAAAGCATTATTTTCGTAAAATTTCCCATTATTTCAGTAGGTAGAAAACATGAGCCGAACAGATTTAAAATAATGAAATCGCTGTGTCAGAATTTTAAACAATTCGCGTATTATAAAAAATACTTTAGATATCAAAAAACAACTATATTCTACATTTTGGAGCGAGTTTTCTGGTAAAAAAGTTGTTCACAGAAGTTGTTCATTTCAACTTTTAAGGAAGACATGAGCATCTTCTAATTTATTCGTTAAGTTGGCTATCTACAGTTGTTTTATGATATAAACAAATCAGAGGTTGAAATTCGTTTTCTACAATTAAATAATTTCAATATTTCAAAAACGGAATTACTAGACATAACATATTATTATTGTTTAAAACAAAATATTTATAACAAAAAAAAATATTTTACAAGTTTAAAAGAGGAAAATAAAAATGTCATCTACATAGTATGAAATGGATTTATATGCTGACATAGTTTCGTATTGGCTTAAAAGAAAAAAAATCAAATGCCACCTCTGAACATTAATAATATATCATGATGATAAAAATACGGTCACATCGATTTTTTTTTTAAAAACTAAGCGATGCTAAAATTATATTCTATAATTTATTTTCGTAAATTGTAAATTACATAAAACATTGATATAATTTTGTTTTTGTTTGTTTAATAGAGTCTAAATAGTCTAAATACAAAAAAAAAAATTGCTGTCACAATGATACCCACAACTAACAGTGGTTACCATAGAAACTAATTTTTCAGTTCATTGTCGAATATATAGTAATTAGTTCAAAACTTCATTTAAAGATAAACAATTAAAACATTAAAATGGAATATTTTATGCTTAAATATTATTCCATACGTACCTGTACAAGTTAAGCATTTAGATGGAAAACGCTTAGAATGACCATTTTGAGAAAAATAAAATTATTTTTCACATTTGGTTGGTACTTCTTTAAATTTGTATATAATAAATTAATATTCATAATATTATAAGTTATAACGATAATATTTTAAAATATTATAACGGTCCGTTATCAATGATCAGATTGAGTAGTAATACAATAATTCGCTACAATAGTTTGATGATTTTCATTTGGTCACTATAAGCATTTTCTATCTAAATGCTTCATTTCACTAAACAGTTTACGGTATGGCCTCTCTATATTATATTCCTTCCTCTATGTATTATTCCAATTAAACCCATTATAGGTACCTAGGATTGGATTTAGAGTAGTGTGGGTCTTTGGGTCCATATCAGATAAAGGCCCCGGTAAATAGAGATAAGTTTAAATCTGAAGAAAACTTAAAATGCATAGATATTTGAATTTCCCAAGAAACTTATCGTCCTTATTAGTATAGTGACTATATTTTATATTATTATGTGTTTTACGTACGGCTGTAATAAAAATTCCATTATGTCGAGAGCCAGGGCTCTACGGGGCATTGTCCAAAATCCGACCCTACCTAGGTAGGTATTCAAGGTACCTAATTATAATAAGTTCTACGTTTTTCAATATGATAAAATATTCAGTGCGTATTGGTAGGTGTTGTGTTTTGTTCCAAGCAGAGATTGGTTATGTTATATTATTATTGTTGAATATGTACACACCACCTAGTTCAACATTATCGATTTAAAGTTTCAAACGACCATAATATCGGCGGCCAACCGCATTTTATAACCTCCTCTGGTGTCTCGGAAACTTCTGCGTATACACTATTAATGCGCGTTCTTATTTCCAAAAAATAACGTAAATAACTTATATTTCTCTCTAACCCTTCGAAAACTAGCGCAGTTCGCGTCGCATAAACAATATCATAAAATCGCTTATGGTACAAGATTTTTCTCGGCGGAGTGTTTCTACCTCCCCCCACCTTCCCCACCCTCCGTCCCGTTCTTATATGTATACATATCTATATATCTCGACTATACTGCGGGATCCGAGTACTCAATACAGGTCCATTGTTTGTTTGACCATCACACCGTGTTTTATGATAGTCTCTTGTACTTTGGCCTCGGTCCAGCTGAAAAATGTACCTAACATAAAAATCGCCCTCTACTCCAAACGCACACACACACACACACACACACCGAGCATTTGACAATGATAATTTTTCATCCCTCGAAAGCGCGGATGCTGGTGTATGTAAAAGTTTTCCCCCGGATACAGTAATCGAGTCGTTTTACTCGTATATATTTCGCGAGATAACCCCCCGACATTTCGACGGAATTACACGCGATATTTTTTTTTATCACCCCGCGCGAAGAAGAAGGGACAACGACCGCGGTACACGAGAACACAACAACTTTATAACAATAAATATCGACCTTCGTTTTAACGCGTTTTTTTTTATATATATATATAAATATTTTCTTTTTTTTTATTTCATGTTCATTGTACCTACCTAAACATAATACGCTGCACAGACGCGCAATGACACATCGCGATAATATTAATATAATATTATATCGCTATAAATGATTGTTCCGACTAACTTATATATTAAGGGGAAATTCCGTGCACTGCAGTTTTACGAAATTCGTTTTGCCGGAATTCATTAAATAACCGAAACGACGCGCGACGCTTTTACCAAATGTATAAGCGTAAAACGACTAACGAGAGACCGCAAAATGTCACGAGCTCGTTCCGACTGAAATGAGTTTAGTAAAGCCATCAGAGGAACGGCCATCACAGCGCGGGACATCCTAATCTCGGTAATCGGATAAACTTTCCTTTGTTGCCGCACACCCGCGATTTTCCGCACGGGCCCTCTCGGACGGACATATCATGTAATTATTATTATACAATTTACACCCGGTATGATTATCGTTAAAATCATCGATATAATATCATTAGAACCCATTAGAACCTATTAATAACCTAATAATAGGTAATAACCTATTATTATGTATTATTGTTTTTAAAATTCGTTTAATGTCGAATATCGATAACTTGTTGGCGAGAACTCGCTTCTGTCGAAAATTATTTATAAATTCGGTACCGAGTAGGTTAGTATTTTAACTCACGAAACAATATTTATAAGCGCCCCTCCCCCCTCTTTCCCGATAGAATGTTAAAAAAATATGAAGAAATATGACTAAAAAAAGATAATATTAATACGATACATTTTTAATAAAAAAAAATTACTGTAAAACAATTGAAAAAATGATTAAAATCCAGGTTTAATAATAAAAGAAAAAAAATAAATAACATTAATTTAGAGGCACCATTTAGAGGGAGGGGGGAGTACAGGATTTTCACTCGTACCCCATCACATGCGCTCGTCTCCATAATTGACCTATACGTACTAATCGATACTTGGCTATGGGCATTCGGGCAAAAATATTCGATTTTTTTCTTTTCATTGAAATGTGTAACTACATTACATTTCAAAAAAAAATGCATTTATATTATTATCGAGTTATCTATTCACAGTTTTACTTGTTGTTTTTTTTTTTATAAAATTAATATAACATTTAATTGAGCAAAATCTTAACAAAACTTTGTGCACATAACAGTTAACGCTGTTTTTATTTCGTTATATTTATGTACACACAGTCGAAAAACAAATTCTACGCGTTTAACTTTAACTCTGAAACAATATCCGTGCTGCAGACGTTCTTTATTTTTAAACGCAATATTACGAAATGGTCGTCGTGATAATTAATATTATCGAAGCTGATTATTAAAATATTATTAATATTAGTGTCAGATTATATTATATGGACACGATTCTTTGTTTTTAATACTTCTGTGCGGTATATGCAGAGTATATCCACTCGTATATTTTTTTAGAAACATTAATATTCGTGCGTCTTCCATGATATTATTCATCAGCAATAATTAAATTAAATTTATCCGAGTGCTTTAGACGACATCAAAAAAAAAAAAAAAAACCGTTTACTCTGCTCTTTCTTATTACGCCCGGGTGTTAATTATTATTATTATTATTTGAAACGGTTAATCTAAAGCCATTTAAATTTTCTACCGGAGGAGGTTTCTTTCTACACCGTCGGCGATGACGACAACGACGACTACGTACCTGCCTGCCTACCTATACAGTCCATTATACAGAAACATAGAAAGGTCCCTAGGAAAATTTATAACACTAAATGTCATAAAAGTGATTTACGAGGTCCATTACGCGGTATTTTCGGCAATTTCATTTTCCACCGTTGGGCCGACCACTGCACCGCACCCGGACCACACCCGTATCGCACCGGCGCGCGAGTCAATTGATTCGTGTTACCGGATCAAACGGCCCACAATATCATATTATTATTATTATTATTATTGCAATGCCAGTCGGAAATGCGACTACGCGAGTAACATTTTTTTTTTTTAGAAATATCAGTAGATACCTACTCCGGAAATATTCAACGATATGTGTTTGAAGTGTTTGAATTATTCATACGGAATTTAGTCTTATCGTTAGTCGCTGCAAAAGGTGCTAATACCCAATCCGATTCACCCTCAAAACACTATACCCGAAAAGGGTATGTGAACATAATGTTCGTCTAAAAAAACTCGTATCTACCGGTGTCATTACCATACATACGATTATTATTATTGTTATTATCGTACAACTAAACGCGTTATGGTTAATACTTATACATATATATGTATGTATATTACATGGGTACTACGGGATTAAAACAGTAAAAAAATACTGTCTGAAATAATCTATTTTACGGTAAATAGGTTTTTACTTGAGAACATCGGAGAACAAAATCTGGAGGAAATTATCAATGACACGATAGAAGAATAACGAAGCAAGTAAAATATTAGAAAACTGTGGGATAATACGGAACGGTGCAGTGCGATTATGCGCATTTTACCTATTTACTTTTGAAGAATACATTACGATTGTGCCCCAAAAAATAGCATGATTGCGTCCGTCTGGCCTTTTGAGACTCGAAAAATGCAACACAATTGCGCTCCAAAAAATATAGGTGTCCTTTTTTAGTCACCGTATTTAGAACACGATTGATGGCTTTGCAAAAACTCATGATCTTATACGATATAGCGAGTGGTATTCCCATAGGGTATACTAAAAGTGCATATTATACATAATATACTATACTCTCAAAACTTGATTGAAAGATCACGAATATAATGCGTATTCTCTTAAATAGTTAAAAAACAAAAAACAAAATTCCATCGTGTTACTATTATCATAGTGTCAATAAACTATTATCATACTATTCATACCATTTATGTCACTAAAACCAAAACAGTAAAGCAAATTGTATTTATTTGAACATTTTGTACAATTGAAAATTTCACAATTTTGTAGAAAGATGAAATGAGCGCAATCATTTTATTTTTTGGAGCGAAATCGTGTTGGTTTTTTTAACACATAAAACCATTATACCCACGAAGGAATTACCATCAAGAACAAGTCACGTTTAAAAGTCAAAGGATTCGACGATTAGGCCACATAGTGTAGAAATTTTGTTCAAGATAGAGACATTACATTTATTTAGTAACATTACGAACCGGATACTGAATGAAAATCGAGTAATAATGTAAATATTTATCGAGTAATAATGTCATTAAAAAATTAACGTTATACTGACCACCATCGTTTTCGAATTTGGGTTTTCCAATACTACCACCATTTAGTTTACTGATTTTTTTTTTTTGTCATATTTCAAAATTTGTTTGAACTGTAACTATGATAGTTAAAATAATGGCAAGAAGGAGCCGTAAAAGAATCCCCCAGCTCTCATATTTCATGTCATTATTTAGTAGGCCAATTTTAACATATTTCAGAATATATTTAGACTTTCTATGATCGTATACTGAAATATATTATTATTCACCATTTATAATAATATTTTTTTAATGCGTTCATTGTCAAATTGACAGAGTTCTGTTATAAACATAATATGCAATTTGTAGTTTTTTAATTTTAAGTAAAAATTTTTTTTTTAAATATTTTTAAAATGGTTGGTCGTAAAGCAAATTTTCGACTATCATCCATTATTGATGCTATACTAAAATTTAAAAAGTGAATTATTTACAAAAATAAAAGCTAAAAAAAAAATTAATTTGAAATATTTATCTATAACTAGAAATGTTGCTTTCTGAGATGATTATATAGAACTATAAACTATACAAAATATTTAATTTAGACGGGAAATAAAATATTTAATACTAAACACTGATAATTAAGTATTTGTAAAAATGTCAATATTTATTGTTTAAATACTTTAAACTTAGAATATAATTTAAAGATTATCAAAAACAATATTAGATAACATTTATTGAAAAATCCATAATATATTATTATGCTCACCTATTATTAAAACGTGCAGCAATTCTTAATAAGGCTTATAAATAGACATATAGTTATGTTTAACGTTCTGCTGAACCTTGAATAACTTTAAAAAAATAAAATAAAAGCTTTTAGTGTGTTTATCTACCAATAAGTATAAAATTCAATAAAGTTAAGTTTAAATTAAGTTATAAGTCGTTTTGTTATAACTTATAATGTAATGTACGGTGAGTGGTTGAGATGTGCGATGATTCGTTATTTCGGTTATAACTGTCGTATAAAATCCAAATCAATTGTAAAATATTTGAAACAAATATACAAAAATGACGGAACTAAATTGTAGTAGTATTAGAAAATACAAAATATAAAAAAGAGAGGGAAGCAATGAAACGTGCGTAAATATTTACGCAATAACGGATTCTATAAGTTTCGATTTTTATTTTTTGTTTTAACCCAGTTAAAAATAACCGTAGACAACTTATATTTTTATTGAATACTTAAATCAGCATTTTTTAGACATGGTGTAGTTTTAAAAATGTTCTGGATTTTTTTTAGTTATTTAAAGATATTTGAAATTGTCTAATTTGTTTTCTTCGCATAAACATGTTGTAATTTATGTTTATCTGTTTATTTATTTATATCCAATATTAAAAAATATTAACACAATTTTCAATGTAAATGTATTGAAACATGTTTAACCGAACTTCGTTTAGAATCTTTATGCGTTACCAATGATTTAAGGTTGTGTACAGATATAAATTGAATTATTCTGTTTGTTGAATCTTTCTAACTTCTGTGGTACATAGTGCGTAGTATGATTGCTTTTATAACTATTAAATAGACTAAAATAATTAGAGTTTTGAATTATGTTCGATTTTATTTTCACTCGCCCATCATTTTACTAACCTTCTTAAAAATTGGTATTGTTTTAGATTTTTTTTTAATTTTAATTAACATATTAATGATGTAAAATATAATAAAATATATTCATATATTCAAGAAATTAAATATATTTTCCAAGTCCGTTTTTATTCAAACCATTCATGTGTATAATAATATAATATAATGCATATTATAAAGTATTAAATTATAATGAAATTTAATTTTCATACAAATTTATTTAATTTTACCATTTAAAATATTAATTTTAAATATAATATTAGTTTGTGTTTTTTTTTCGTCGCTGACTGAGAATTATTATGATAATTTACCTAAAGTTAGAAACATTTTGTTGTAAAAGTTTTCATTGGTTTTTTGTATGGTTCGTGGCTATAAATATTTTAAAGGTTGACATTTTTATATATTTTATAAAGTTAGAAAAATATTTTAACACTTATTGGAGTATAACAAATAACAATATTAATCTTGTTTTAAAACAACTTGGTTTTTGATAAAAATATAATAATTCTTTAAAATGGTGGAAATTTACAAAATAAAAACTGGTGTTTAAATAATATATTTACATTAAATGTGTCATATGTTTAATTTTATTTTTTATTTTGAAAGGGGTTTTTTAGTAAGTTAAATACAAAGACATATTACTCGTATATAAAAATATTTCAAGTGGATTGCATACAAGAAAGTATAACGTAATATTATAATATTAGTCTTTATTGATGGCAACTAATGTTTAGAAACAATACAAAAATAATTATTGTTGTGGAGCTATTCAGTCATTATAAGTGATAAAATGTACCTAAATATTTTGACTTAATACTTGCTAAAAAATATATTTACTATACACGGTGGAACATTGATATTTCGAATCAGTCCAGGGCAAAAAAAAAATTCTAGTTATTGAACATATTTGTTTATATAACACATTTACTTCATTTTATAACGCATACATTTACCAACAATGTACAAAAATAAATGTTAATATCACAGGTTATATTGTACATAGTTATCGAATTTATAACCGAGCCTCTTAAGCATAAAGTAAAGATTGATTAAATTAATAAGTTTTCAAATATCGTTATTTATGAACATACACTTTATTATACGTACATATATATATATATATATATATATATACGTTATCGTTATTGATAATCGTTCGTACACTTATGCAAATTCATTAATTATTTCAATAATTTTCGGTAATGTATGACAAATAATTCGAGTTATAAGATAAAATTCAACTCAAATGACTTTGACTAAACTAGAAATTCGAGTTAGTGAAATTCGAATTGTAAACTCGAAAATGTATCCCACATATCATATATTTAAATGTAGGGGCCATGGCATTCTTTCGAGTTATTGAAAATTTGACTTATAGAGGTTAAATTTATCAACGTTCCACTGTAAATAGTATGAATTCGTATTTTTCGTATGGAGTGACATTTGAAATATTTGATAGACTAATAAGCTCAATCATATCTGTTAGATCAAAATTTACATTATTTTCTAGGAGGCAAGATTTGGCAACAACTATCTCAGTTTCTATGATTTTTTTTTTAATTTGATTAAGTATTTATTGACATTGGATAGCTGGGAAATTCCACTTCCAGTAACTTTACTTGATTTAAAATCAGACCATTTAGAAATACAAGTTATATGACATTTTGTAGGTGCATGAGCTTCTAATTTAGACTGTTTACCTATTTGTATATAGGCACTTCTACTGCCATAAAGCTAAAGCTAAATGAAAAATGATTTTAAATATTTTATTTATCATATTAAAGATATTTAACAATACTCATTAAAAAGATCAAAGAAATGTAAAGATAAACTTACTTTTTTCTAATTACTATATCATTATATATATCTGAATATAATATCGTTTTTTTTTTTTTTACTATCGTCTTAAAGAAGATAGCAAGTATTAATTAATATTATTATGTCATTAAAATAAATAGTTATAAATTACAATTGAAGATTATTTATTATTCCTCATTTTCTTCCCAAAACCAGCTCAATTATGTGTAATTATATTGACTCTAATGATTTTAGGATTAGTTATATATTTAGATAGCATGATAATATTTGATTTTAATTTGATAAAAACATTAATATTACTAATTTTTTGGTAGTAAAGTTAAATATATAAGTTGGTTACTTTAAGGTGTTGTAGGGGGGAGCAACGCCACGTGTTTGCGAATCTTGATAATTTTCACCCTCTTGAGTTTCTACCAAGTGCCGTTAGTATGTACTTATAAAAAGTAATTATACAGTATTATAGAATATAAAAAATAAATTAAATTATACATAACACGTGTACACTGTACCTACCTATACGTTTTCTACTTAATTAAAATGAAAGCGACAAATATAGTTTTGTATTTGTTTTTTTATCGGGTACATATAATATTTACCTTACAGATTTACACAAAAAACATTTTTGTTTTTACGTTACGAAATGGGTAAAAAATAAAATAGGTCGAATACTTCAAATATCAAATTAAATAAAATCGGATCTGTTTTATTATATTACGCCACTTCGTAGGTACTCTAAATGCAACTTAAACTGGGTAGGCAATAAAATATCACATGAATTATATTTTTCAAGGCCAATTAATATTGTAAAATGCCTTATAATTCGATTTTAAGCGCCTCGTACCGTATTAAATCACAATGGTTTGTACTATATATATATATATATTATATCGTTTATTTATTTTTTATTTTTTTTGTCTGAACTCTCTTCTATTCTCCATCCTGCAGTTCGTTTAAATAAATAAAACAAAATGTCAATACATATATTATAATAATAAAACAAATCATTTTCTAGAATAAATTTAATTTTTCATAATTAAAATACTGTTATAATAATATTAACAACAGATTTTAAATAAATTTGAATCAAACCGAATCGAATTAACATAATATTACCTATCTATAATAACGCGATAATTTTATTATATAGAAAGGTTTAAAGTGAATAATACGTAAATATCAATACAATTGTACCCATATAACAATATAATGAACATTTCTTTTATTGACATTCGTACGTATAATGTATAGGGCAATTAAAAATAATATTTCAATATTATAAAACCGACACAAATTTTGCGTAATTTCCACGCGTACTTAAAATAACAGCTTTACCTGTATAATAAGTCTCAGTAAATTATCAACTGTATATACTTAAAATGCCGTCGGGCGTGTATTTCAATAAAATACAATTCTTAATCACTATAACCGATATGTATGCAGTTTCAGACGAAAATGTTTCAAAATTATTGGTCGCTATAGTAATAGGTTAGGTTGAATATGTACATCGAATTTAATATTATAAGACAACAGAACATTATTGAATACAATTTTATATCGTACAAAAATTTACCGGAAATAAATTTTTATTTGATTTAAATACGTTGAGG